ATTGACTTAAAATGATACTTTAAAAATAAGTTTAGCGAGGATAAGTGTAATAGATGTAATAACGATATGAAAGAAGATATGGAACATTTATATAATTGTGATAGTTATGAAAAATATAAGGAGGGACAAGAAATAGATAACTGGAGAAGGGACAACCATGGACTATTAAAACCTGAATTAGATTATGTACGGAAAATTCTGTCGATCCGTGACACTAACATGTAGAGAATTAGAGGCGACGTTTATCCCTTTGTTTTCTAGATGAACCCCGCACTCGTTGATTCGGGTGCCTTGTGAAATACAAGAGAGGGAACCAGATACAAGATACAAGATAATACAGTCTATTAGTACTACTATTAGCACCACGGTGCACACGCACTGTAGAGTCTCTCCTTGACGTGCACATATATATACGTACGCAGTTCAGAGCTCACTATATTCATATACCTTTGTTTGTACGATGTTGTGGGTGATTCATTCGTTCCAATTGCAGTCACGCTGATAACACCGCGAATACAGTTTCAAACATTTATTTTCCAGTCTAAAATTCTGCAGCAACACACCGTCTACAAATTCACGTACATTAGCTTCACAGTCACCTCACATAATGCATTGACCACCTCTGTACTTCACTTCCACCGCCCGTCAGGCGCACGATTTCACAACGATGCAAGTCGGTGTCTAGGCTACAGATCAGCTTTTATACAGTGCGTAACAGTTCAGTTCAAACTCAATACATATCAATTCGCTTGCCTTCAGAACATATTAGCCCTGTAGCTCACTCAGTATCTCAGTATCTCAGTATCTCAGATGTATCCGGCAATCTCAGCTACAAACAAATTGGCAACTTATACACGCAAAACATTCTTCACCCATGTACCCGTAAGGCCTATACTCACGTTTCTCTTTCAATTCCCAAAAGTGCGCCTACCGTTTTCATGAAAACATCCCATAATAAATCTCGATTTTAAGATCTAAACGTGGAATTAAGCTCTTAAAACTTAGTTTTAAGATTTTAAAACCAGGTTTTAAGGTCTAAAACCAAGTTTTACGCCCTAAAACTAGGTATTAAGAGCTTAAATCCGGGTTTTAGACCTTAAAACCTGGTTTTAGTGTCTAAAACTAGGTTTTATGCTTTTGGTAAAAGGCTTCCCATTCGAGAGCTTAAAACATAGTTTTAAGCTTTTAAAACATAGTTTTAAGCCATAAAACCGGGAACTAGGCCTTAAAACTAGGTTTTTTGTTCTAAAACCAAGTTTTATGCCGTGAAACTAGGTATTAGGAGCTTAAATCTGGGTTTTAGACATTAAAACCTAGTTTTAGACCTTTTTATGCTTTCTGCTTTTTGCTTTTTGCTTTTTGGTACAAAATGCTTTCTATATACGCTGCGGCGGCAACCTGTTAAAGTTTTTCTGCAAGATTTTATTTGTTTATAGGTGGTTGTTAGTCAGAATGTTGGGTTGCATGCAAAGCTCGGTCGGCTGTTTTGAGAGCGTAAAGTAGCAGAATCTACTTCATACATGTAACCGTTTTTGGCCACGTTGCCACTGACCTAGGAAACGCCGACCGGCAAAAGGCGTGGACGAAAAGGCGCGCCAACGTACAGTGAACTCGTGCAGTACTTATTTCGCCGGTTTTCGAAGAGTTTGGTCTAATGACAGTGGGTATCTTCTTTTGCAGCACTTCATACCTAACCAAGAAACATGTGTGACGACGAAGTAGCAGCTTTGGTAGTCGACAATGGCTCGGGAATGTGCAAGGCCGGATTCGCCGGTGACGATGCACCTCGTGCCGTCTTCCCTTCAATTGTCGGCAGACCACGTCACCAGGTAAGCGCTATACATTTCTTATTCTCAGTTTATCCGTAAGTGCATTTCATGTTTCCCGAATACAAGTTGTAGAAATATTCATGATATCTCGTATGCACGATTCGTTAATGCGTCGTCGGCGGAGTAAAAGCAGAATAATTGAGTGAATATTGATTTTCAATAGTTCCGTTGTTAATTTGGATATAAATGTAATATCGGTGGTGAACATCGCCGAGGATGGCTGCAGGTGCCTGCAGCAGAGAAAGCTGTAATGCGAGTCTGCGACGCCTGGAATCTCGTTTGACTGGGTGCCTGTACGAGCAGGGTTATTGATCGTGGTGGAATGCAAGTGGGAAGTTCTTTGGGTGATGACATGATTACCAGTGGCAAACTGCTGTAGCAAACCTATTTGGAGGGATGCAGGATGATGATGAGGATTACTTTGAATGAAGGGTAGTTGCCCGCGTGGGACAATTCAAATTTTATCCAACTGCTTTCATTATTTTTAAAGTTTTTAATTACCGTTTTGTGCGTGCTAACGGTCGTACATGTTTTTCTTCTGCCAGATTGTCATGGTTGGTATGGGTCAGAAGGACAGCTATGTAGGAGATGAGGCCCAAAGCAAGAGAGGTATTCTCACCCTGAAGTACCCCATCGAGCACGGAATCGTCACCAACTGGGATGATATGGAGAAGATCTGGCACCACACTTTCTACAACGAACTGCGTGTTGCCCCAGAGGAGCACCCAGTCCTGCTGACTGAGGCCCCATTGAACCCCAAGGCTAACCGTGAAAAGATGACACAGGTTAGTTGGTTAGTTGTCATGAAATTTGGTTGCACCGGTCCGCATTTCATCCCAATCCTTAATACATGCACACCAGTCCTTAGTTTGACAGAGCATTCATTCATGGCTGTCACTGATATGAACTTTGGGAATTTCATCATTTGACCCCACCTGTTGATTCTATCCCTATGCTCCTCCCAGCCACGAGTGTTTCCTAGAATGTTCTTGGGCCCAGTCTTGCTTCCTGCTTTCCTAAAACCGACACGGTGACACTTCCTGCGATGACAGGTGTTGCGTTTATTACCATATAAGGCTGACAGGTGTCTGGATAGAGGCACGCTTCAGCCAATGAGCAGCGGTGAGGCGCTGCATACATTCAAATATGCGCCAGGTGGCATATGGCGTTGGGAGTGGTGGGGGGCTGATGGCGTGATGCGCTGCTGTAGTAAAGTCGTGTGGCAGCAAGCCAGCTGATTGCCGGGGATGTTTTAGGTGCTGCCACCTGGTGTGGCATCGCGAGTGCAGCAGCTGTTGTTGCACCTGCCGTGCACATGTGAAGCCTTTGTGTAAATTTATGCAAAGTGGTTTCTAGCTGTTTTGTTGCCCCAGGTGCTGACCTGTATAAAAGCTTACATAAAATATTAATTAAATATAAAATCCCCAAACAATTTTCACGAAATTCGACTGGTATCCCATTGCAGATTATAATGGCAGGCTTATGCTGCACGTGGAAGTATAGGTTGATTATTGCCGAACAGCAACGTAATGGTGTGAGTGTTCATGAGTAACGTTCGTTGGTTTCTGTTTTTTCAGATCATGTTCCAGACATTCAACACCCCAGCCATGTACGTCGCCATCCAGGCTAACCTGTCCCTGTACGCTTCCGGTCGTACCACCGGTATCGTGCTGGACTCTGGAGATGGTGTCAGCCACACCGTCCCCATCTACGAGGGTTACGCGCTGCCCCACGCCATCCTCCGTCTGGACTTGGCTGGCCGAGATCTGACCGACTACCTAATGAAGATCCTCACAGAGCGCGGTTACAGCTTCACCACCACGGGTACGTGCTTGCGGCAACGGCGTCTGTGAATAGTTGGTCGAGCTGGGACTTGTCGTAAAGTTCTGTCTCTTATACATGAGATGGTTATAGCAGTAGCGGCGTGTTGTCGGAAACATGAATAGTCTATTGTGGTTTCTAGGGAGTCGTAAGTGTTTCTGACAGCTGGCACTGTTGTGTGCCATGGGATGTTGGTTCTGGTTTTTTCGATATTGTGCAATTTTCGCGAGGTTTTCTTTTCGATCGTCTGACTTACCGCGAATCTTGTCGCCCCGCAGCCGAGAGAGAAATCGTGTGTGACATCAAGGAGAAGCTGTGCTACGTCGCCCTGGACTTCGAGCAGGAGATGGCCACGGCTGCTGCCTCCTCCTCCCTGGAGAAGAGCTACGAGCTTCCCGATGGACAGGTCATCACCATCGGCAACGAGAGGTTCCGTTGCCCAGAGGCCATGTTCCAGCCATCTTTCCTCGGTAGGTATCTCCGCGACTGTCGTGAGCTTGTGGTGCCACCTTTGTGTTGCCATGGTTCGTAAGCAAAAGGAGTTTGTTAATGCTGTATTTATACGTGGTTATTGATTACTGATTGATTTCTCATCGTATTATAACTTTGTCAACAGGCATGGAGTCCACTGGTATCCACGAAGCCACCTACAACTCCATCATGAAGTGCGACATTGATATCCGTAAAGATCTGTACGCCAACACCGTCCTGTCCGGTGGCACCACCGTGTACCCAGGTATTGCCAACAGAATGCATAAGGAGATCACTGCCCTTGCGCCGAGCACCATGGAGATAAAGATCATTGTTCTACCAGAGAGGAAGTACTCTGCATGGATCGGTGGCTCCATCCTGGCTTCCCTGTCCACCTTCCAGCAGATGTGGATCAGCAAGCAGGAGTACGATGAGTCCGGCCCATCCATTGTGCACCGCAAGTGCTTCTAGGTTATCTCTCTCTCTCTCTCTCTATGATCAAGACGAAGATAGAAACATTCCACTGCCCTTGTTATTCGTCTGGGCGCACCACCACTGTTCTCCTGTGTTTATCGTAATGGCGTTGTAATGCCTTGTAATATACGCGCTTTAAGTAAATGCACTTGTGATAAAGGTACTATTTGGTGGACCCTGGCTTCTGGCAGCTGGTAATTTGTCATGCCATCTACAATAGCAACAAAGCAGCAACATTCGCTCAACTAGCAACGTTTCACGTCTTCTGCTTCAGTTTCCTGCGAGCTCAAATAGCTAAAAAAAACATGTTTGTTCTTTAAGGGAGGTCATTATGATTCATTGATTATATTATTTCGTACGTAACTGATATGATATTGCGGAAATGCCTAACAATACGACAGTTGCGTCAATCAAGAATGTGTTTATTATGAAAAAAAAACTTATATTTCTATTAAATTATTTGTTGCTTTTTCTTATGTTGATTTGATCTAAGTAAATGCATAACCAATGGGTTTTGCAATGCAGTGAACAACGTGTTGGGGTAACAACTATGATTAGATAAAATGTTAACAGCTAACTAGTAAATTAAAATGAAGCTTTTTCATATAATTGGTAGGTTCATGGTGATATTTCACAACGTAATACCAACAGTGACGTTTCTTTCTTTTTTGAAATTGCGCTATAAGTGCATGTAACTTGTACTTCTGTGAAACTGAATATAGAAGTTGTGTTCATACATTCACAATGCAACGCTACAGCTCCTCGTGTGTCAAACGTGTAGAATGTAGACGCATTCATTTTATAACCGGAATTTCCATTTCAGGTGTAGAAATTTTCTAGTGGGAAGAAGCTAATATTGCCACACTAGAACAACCTTCAGTAGTAACACCAGAGAAACAGCCTACATCTAACGAACATATCCTGAAAATGCATGATACCGTTTACTTAAAATCGGGCTATTTATACAAATAAAACACATTTATTACATATATAATGAATATTATCGAGGAAGAAGTGAGGTAAGGGTAAGGCGAATAAAGCTGAAGGCTTTACAGTCTAATATTATTGACAGGAGAGGGCGCCACAGCATCAAGCGCCCGTATTTAGTATTTATACCCTGTGTCGATATTCCTGTGTCATACCGCTACGTAGCGCGATCAAAGTGGTTAGAGTGGCACGTTCTAGTGTTTAGTACCGAAATGAAATTTGAATTTATACTCAGCGCGTTTTATCGCTGTAATAAACTCAAGATAACTATTATACGCAAAAAACTACCCGTGCAGAATATACGAGTGTACAGAGCAGAGGGTTAAAATATTGCAAACGCGACCTCGCTACTTCGCCTGGTCGGCACTAAGCCACTAACCCGCCATAAGTGCCTCCCAATACTAATATACGGTTATGAGATGCGTAGATGTCGGCGACTTAGCGACATAGTAGTGTTTTACGTAAAGGAACGAGGCAAAATTATTAACGAATTAATACGTGAACAATCCTCGTGGTTCTTACATCTTCGTTGCTGACGGTATCAGTGCCTCCCTCTACCGGCAACCCAATGGTTTGTCGTAAATATTTGATCAGGAGCTAACTCGACTGCGATCTCAACTTGCTTCCGATCAATCCGATGAAGTGCCCTACGAGGTTGAGACCGCTAACGGCTTCCAGCTCCAGCGCAGCTCTATTCTCGACTATACTTTACTATAATTTATTCTACTCTATTCTACTCTACTCCAATTTACTATACTCTACTATACTATACTCTACTCTTCTCTACCCTATTGTACTCAGCTCTACCCTACTCCATATGGGTTCAGTGGGAAGCATCGTTTTACGTCGCGTGCATTGATGTAAGGATATATAAGGTAAAGATTCAGTCATCTCAATGCGGATATACTTGTTCTAAATATAGATACCCTGTCGTCTGCTGATTACGTAAGGTCTGTGTGCGTTTACCGGCATCTTAGTTTAATTAAGAAGATAGAATGAAAAGATTTTAGTGGAAAACTACGCAATTGAGATATTCTGCCGTGTTTAAATAGTCTCGTTGCAGCCCGAATATTTTCAGTTCAGTATTCCGATCTAATTCTTAGGCACATCTAAGTTTAATTAAGAAGATAGAATGAAAATATTTTAGTGGAAAACTACGCAATTGAGATATTCTGCCGTGTTTATTTAGTCTCGTTGCAGCCCGAATATTTTCAGTTCAGTATTCCGATCTAACGTGTATTCTACTGTGTGTGTGTGCGTCTGTAGAAGTAGGCGTGTGTACGTCTGTGTGCGCGTGTGCTTGAGGGGTGCGTAACATCATAAGCTCCCGTCTGACAGATCGGCTATGGATGTTTTATTATCATGTCTAAGAAAGTGCAAAATGCCTTTGTAGTCTGTGATTAGATGATTGATGGGACAGATCATTTATAAGTAAATCTAAATTCAATTGCTCGCGGTGTGGGGGTAATAACGCGAAATTGTCTAGATTTTGAACGAGATTCGTTGTTTGCGGTAGTTTGATTTGAGTCCTACTGATTCATGTCTCGCTTTTCTTTTCTACAACAACTTTCTTTACTCAACTATTTTTTTGCACCTTTATACAGCAAATATTCATTTACTAATGAAAAACTAGAATGCTTGCGTGTTTGTATAGTGCATGTAGAATATCAAGAGTAAGATAATAACCCATGGGTCATTATCTTACTCTTGAGAATATGTATACGTTTTCCATATGCGAAGGAAACTGAATTGTCCTCTAATAGTACGCAGCGCATGTACAATTACCAGTACTTTCTCTAGTTTATCGCAATGAAGACGGGCGAAAGGAGACGAAACATGAGAGCAGAGAAACAACAGAATGTCAAATGAATCAGAATTACGATGAAGCTATTTATTGACAAACCATACATGTCTAGCGACAGCTAGTCCCCGTAGGATAAAGGCGTTTTGTATCTACACTTTTAGCAGCTTTACAGCTACAAATTTATTTTTATCAGCCGAATATTCTCGTCACGTTTACGTGACTATGAGATCGTTTGCTAAGGCACTATATGCAATGGCGGCAATAAAGACGGCTGTCTGTAGCGGAGGACCCGCGCCGTAGCCCAGCCACTACCATGTTGTGAACAAAGAGCAGGCAGCCACGGGGGTCCAATCGTGCAAGCAAATGGATATCAGCACTATGGCAAACGCGGAAACCGGGCTTCGGTTCCTTATTCTTCCATCATCCTTGGACGACGGGTTGGCTGGTAAATAAAAAGAGAAGAAAATTATCGATGGGAATATAATCGCCGTGTTTTTTCTTATAATATGATGAACCCGATTTTAGGCGATTTCAATAACTTCAATGGTCGAGGAAAACAATTAGGCCCGCCAGATGCTTATTATTTTAGAAATGTAATGAATATGAATTTATATTATTATCACGATGTGTTGCATTTGTATATATATATTCCTATACTTACAGCAGAGCGCGTAGAAAATCCGGCAGAGCGTGCAGCAACTCTCAGCTTAGCGACGGCAGACTCCGCATCCTCAGCGCGTGCCTCAGCCTCCTCCAGCTCAGCCTGCGCCTTGCGGAACTTGGCCAGGTTCATGTTGGCCACCTCCTCGGCCTCGTCGATCTGGCGCTTGTAGAGCTTGATCTTCTCGTTGAGTCGCTCCAGCATGTCCTGCATGTGAACTTGATTCTTCTTGCCATCCTCGATTTGCAGGGACAGATCCTTGACGTTGCGGTCGGCCTTGCGGTAGTTCTTCTGGGCTTCGTTGAGGCGGCGGCGTTCAGCATCCAGCTCGCTCTCCAGCTCGCGCACGCGCTGTTCCAGCTTGGCGATCATCTTCTTGCCTCCCTTCAGCACGTTGGCTTCAGCCTCATCCAGACGGACCTGCAGATCCTTTAGCTGACCTTCTACAGACTTGCGGGCCTTCTCAGCGTGGCTAGCATGTTCCTGCTCCTGGCGCAGCTCCTCTGCCAAGCGGGCTGCATCGGCAACGGCACCTCTGGCTTTCTCATCAGCAGCCTTGAGCTCATTGACGGTCTCATCAAGATCGGCCTGCATGGTCGTCATGTCTCCCTCCAGCTTCCTCTTGGCGGCGTTGGAAGATGCGACCTGGCTCTGGAGATCTCCCAAATGATCCTGAGCCTCGTTCAACTCGGCTTCGACCGCGCGGCGGTTGCGCTCTGCCTGCTCCAGGGAAGTACGCGTCTCCTCTAGCTCAGCATTGATGACATTGCAGCGGCGCTCGCTGGCTCCAAGCTGCTCGCGGATCTCTTCCCTGATGCGCTGTTCTTCCTCAATCTGCGACATCAGGTCGGCGGCCTCGCTCTGCAGCTTCTTGAGGTTCTTCTGAGCGTCGGCGTTCTGGCGGTTGGATGAATCAAGAGCGACCTCCAGCTGGTTGATGTCATTCTCAAGCTTCTTCTTCATGCGCATCGCCTCCGCCTTGCCCTTGGCCTCGGATTCGAGGCTGGCTTGCATGGAGTCAACAGCGCGCTGGTGGTTTCTGCGGGTCGTCTCAAACTCCTCGTCCTTTTCGGCGAGACGTCTGTCAACCTCCTGGCGGATCTGGTGCAATTCGAGTTGACCACGGACGACCTTGGACTCTTCCTGTTCCAAGGCGGCTTCGGCTTCCTCCAGCGCTGCCTGCAGTTCCTCCTTCTCCTGCTCGAGTCTCCTGCGGGCCTTGTCCATCTCGTGGACGCTCTTGCCTCCCTCGCTGAGTTGATCAGTGATGTCCTTGATCTCGTCAACGAGGTTCCTGTTCTCGCGCTTCATGGCTTCCACAGCATCGCTTGCCTCGTCGTGTCCTGCCTTCGCCTTGAACAGTTCGGTGGAGACGTTGCGGCATTCGCGCTGGGAGGCGTCAAGCTCGGCTGCCAGATCATCGCTCTTCTGCTTCCACTCGTGGATGGTCTTGTCGAAGTTGCGCTGGCGTTTCTCGGCGGCGTTGGCTGCGCTGGTCGCACGCTCAACTTCAATGGACATGTCGTCCAGATCGTTTGAGATGCGCTGCTTGGTTTTATCCAGTTGGTTGATCTTAGCATGAGCTGCCTCGAGGGCATCCTCAGTTGCCTGGAGCTTGGCTTGGAATTTACGCCTGTTAAATAGGGCAGTAACAAGCAATTAATGAGATTTGCTTTATTATACTAATGCTTATTATAATAAGGTGTACTTTATTATGTAAAATGTAAAGCAAACGTGACCTGACTGTAAGTAATTATGATAATATGCTAACTTGCCGTATACGCAATGACTTGATTATATATCATTCACGCTACCGATTAAATTACTAGACTTACTTAAGCTCCTCGGCCTCTGGTCCACCACCTCCTAGACCCTCACTCTCAACTCGCGCACGCAGGGTGTTAAACTCGTTGTTGACCTTGGCCAGTTGCCTCTGCAGTTGGCTCTTGCCTTCAGCCTCCTCTTCTAGCTGTTCGCGCAGCTGCTCGGCATCGTGTTGAGCATTGCGCAGCTGGGCCTGCATGGACGCCTTTGCCCTCGACTCCTCGTCGACTTGTCCGCGCAGCTCCTCCAGCTGAGAAGCTAGTTGGGCCTTGACTCTTGTAAGCTGGGTAACCTGAGACTCGGCTTCCTCCAGCTGCCTCTGTAGGTCGTTGATCTCGTTGCTGGACTTGCTCTTCTGCGAGTTCATGTCGTTGATGATGCGAGCAGACTCGTCAAGCTTCGAGTTGGCCTCGCTCAACTGACTCTCGAGAGCCTTGGACAACTTCTCGGCTTGTCCCTTGCTCTTGCTGATGTGTTCCATGTTTGCCTTGCAGTCGTCCAGCTCAACCTTTACCTGTGCCTTTTCTTTATCGATCCTGGAAAGAATATGGCAATGGGGAGTCAATTAGCCACAATTTTTAAAGGTTATTGTAAGAGAAAACAATAACAATAAAATTAGAGAGACGGATATTACATGAAACAACATATGATGAAGTTAATGTAAATCGAGATTGAATATGTGTTAATTGTTTGCTAGTATCTCGGTCAAAAACTTTACGTACTTGGCCTTGGTCTTTTGAAGCTGGTCAATCTGTTCACCCATCTCACTGATTGCGTCATTCTGCTTCTTGCGCAAAGATGAAACCACAGCCTCGTTCTGCAGAGCCTGCTCCTCAAGGTCACGACGGAGCTTGGCCAACTCAGCCTCACGCTTCTTGTTCAGCTCGACTTGTGCGCTGGTGGCGCCTCCTGCTTCCTCAAGGCGTTCAGTGAGCTCCTCCAACTCGCGAATTGCATCGGCCCTCTGCTTCTCAACCTTGGAGCGGGCTTGTCTTTCGGCTTCCACCTCTTCCTCGATCTCCTCCGTGCGGCCCTGCAGTTCCTTGATTTTCTTCTGCAGCTGGTGAACGATTCCTTGTTCATCCTCGCATTTGCTGCCCAGGCCGGAAAGCTCCTTGTCCTTTCTGCGGACGTTTTCCTCGAGTTGCTGCTTGACATGCTCCAGCTCCTCTACTGCCTCCTGTGTCATCTTCAGGTCGCCCTCGACCTTCCTCTTTGCTTTCTCTACGTCTCCACGGACCTTCTTCTCGCGTTCGAGGTTGTCCTCCAATTCATCAAGAGTCTGTTCCAGCTTGGCCTTGACCTTATTCAGGTGGTTGCACTTGTCCTCTTCCTTCTGAAGATCCTCGCCAGTTCTCTGTAATGTACCAGTTAATTAAATAATAACGAACCCTACTCATGTATATGCATGGCACTTTCAAACTAGACAATATAAATGGGTGTAGTTCATTATTGTAATGCATGCTGTACTTACCGACTGTTGTTCACTAAGGTTCTTCTTCTCTTTGTTTCCCTTGGCAATGAGTTCCTCCATCTTGGCGATCTCTTCGTTCAGCTGCTTGATATTGTGTTCCTTAGCGTTCTTCTCGCTCTCCATCTTCTTTAGGGCACGCTCTAGTTCTTCGATCTGACTTCTGAGATCGCTGCATTCACCCTCGACCTTTCTCTTAGCATCACCGACAGAGGCAGCTCCCTGCTCCTCCTCAGCTAGACGGTCTTTCATATCCTGGAGGTGGGATTCCAGGTCGTGTTTCTGCTGCATCAGCTTGGTTGCACGCTCTTCAATGTCGGCAATGGTTTCGGATTCGTTGGCGCAGCGAGCATACAGGTCATCCTTTTCCTTTGTCACCTTGGCAACCAGCTCCTCCTGCTCCTTGCGGATCTTGATTTCCTTGGCCAGCTCCTCTTTAACCTTCTCGAACTCTTCCTTCATCGCATTTATCTCATCCTCCTGGCGGGCAATGCTCAGCATGGGCTTCACCTTTGTGTACAGCTTCCACCATGGCCAGTTGCGGCACTGGATGTACTTCCTGACGTTACGCTGAATGACGGTCATTGCCAGACGCTGGGCCTTCATCACTATAAAGAGAGCTCTTGTCTGCTTTCCACGGACCCAGGCCTGGGCGAGAGTAATAATGCGAGTGATGCGGTCGTCACGCATTTCCTCAAGCTGACCTAGAGAGCCGGCCTTGAAGAAGACCTTGGTATGGCCGAGCTTGTACATGTTCGTGTCCCATTGCAGTTCGGAGAGAATTGCTGCACTAGCATCCTTGCTGTCGCAGAATCCCTCTGGGACAGCATTTGGGGCCAGAATCTTGTATCTGTAAATAGTTGCATTCAGAAAACAATAGAAATATAAAAAAGTTAAAAAAAGTAGTAAATTAGTGCAGTAGTAATTGCGATAAAAATAATTATATGTATACTAGATAGTGTTAATCAATACCCAAACGACTGTGTTGAGTTCTCGTATTATAATTTGCTAACCTTTGCTTGAAGTCTCCATATACCAGTCTGTTGGGGAAGCCCTTGCGGCAAATACGGATTCCTTCCAGTACACCATTGCAGGTCAGTTGGTTCATGACCAGTGCGGCATCAAGAACACCTCCTTCCTTGTTCTCGTTGGGGATGATGCAGCGCACGAAATGAGGAGCCGTGGCATGCAGGGCCCCCATCAACTTGTTCAGTTGTTCCTGAAGAAAGGAAATAAGGTATAAAGCCGCGATGCCCACCCATATATATTTCAATTACACGTACATTTCTCCACATATGGACATTTTCAAGGCATATAGCGTTGTCTCAAAATGTGGGTTCTTACGTGAATAACTATGGACGTGTTTCAGAAGATACCATTTACTATGAAATTTTAAATTACAATTGACCTGTGATTACGTACTCTGTAGAGAGCAGACACGGTCTGGAAGGCTGATCCCTTCTTCCTCTTTCCCTTGCCACCAGTGTCTTCATCGACTTGCAGCTTATCAGCAAACAGGCGGGCAAGCAGTAAATTGCCATGAGACTTGGCGAATGTAGTAGCCACAGTGTCGTTGATTGGATCCTTGTTTTTTTCCAGCCAGTGGTTGACGTTGTAGTTGACAACGCCAGCGTAATGGACAACACCGAAGTGAGCCTCCTGCTGTCCTGCCTTTGGCGGTCTCGGCTTGGAGAAGCTCTTGGATTTACCGAGATGGTTGACCTGCATCTTTTCCAGGAAGGTCATGTCTGTGGCCTTGGGGAACATAGATTCCTCCTCAAGAATGGCGAACACTCCCATGGGCTGAAAGCAATACGAATATTCATAATTCGGTAATGAAATTGCAAACTTTTCATTATTGAACAAATTTTATGTATTAATTTGTGTTAATTGATAATATCATTTCTTTTTAGCTATTTACACTGCGCGTTTACCTTTTCAATCATGTCAATGCAAGCTTGCAGATCCAGACCAAAATCAATGAAGACCCAGTCGATGCCCTCACGCTTGTACTCTTCCTGTTCCAGAACGAACATGTGATGGTTGAAGAACTGCTGCAGCTTCTCGTTGGTGAAGTTGATGCAGATCTGCTCGAAGCCGTTGAAGTCGAAAATCTCGAAGCCAGCAATATCCAGGACGCCAATGAAGAACTGCTTCTTTCCAACAATGGCCAATGTCTTGTTGACATTGTCTACCAAGGCGCGGAACATGCGGTCGTAAATAGCCTTGGCCAAAGCGCCGACACCGTTGTAGCACTGCTCCTTGGTCTGACCCTTGGTAACGTACTCTGAGCCGACCTTGACGCGCGGCTTCAGGATGCCCTTGACGAGGTCAGCATCAGAGATGCCTAAGACATGGGCGACCTTGCAGGCTGCTTCGGTGCCGTCGGCCTCTGCCTGTTCCTCCCTGGGCCTCTGCTTGAACTGCATGACTCCCATGTGCATGACAGCTGAGGTGATCTTGTAGATATCCCATTTATCTTTATCAGAGAAGCCCAAAATGCCGAAAGCTTCCTACAAAACAATAATAACAAAATTTAAACATGGAATTTAATACCACGATTAGAGTTATTTTGGGGACTAGGAACAATGCTCTAGAGAACGTATTGTCTTATTGGCACTTACAACCATACGTGCAAAGAATCAACGACAATAAATAATCAAAGTTGCGGACATATTTATTGTTATTTTATTCGTTAGGTACGGGACTTACGTCGGTCAATCTCATCTCCTCGCCATCGTCGACTCCATCAATAAACGTCTTGCCCTGCGCGATGAAATAGTAGGTGCTGACGTCATCTTGCAGCAAGCACTCACCTGAAATGGAATTTCCTCTAGTCATCAATGCGAAAAAAACCTATGTGCGATTGTACTGCTCACGTACGTTCAGTATGCGTTGTTATTTTCTCAGCCTTTCCCGCTTTGAACGTAGGAAACGCATACCCGGTTGCAATATATTCAGGTAATCTCAGGACAAGTTGCTATTTTTACACATCTCATCATCTTTCACGCTGCAAACATGTATCCAATTATATACTTTGTTCGTGTATATTCTACTTAACAGTTGCTATTTTTTTAAATATTTGATTTAGTTACGGTTTCTTCTTACCTTTAGTCTTTTCGATGCCACCAGATGACAGCTGGTAGAAGATGTGGTAGCTACGCTCGAGCGGGGCCTGGGAGACGACACGTGACTTCTCCAGCAGATCTGTTAAGTTAATGTTTTATCATAAATTAATTGACAGCTCTATGTAGCTACGCTATCATTTCCCTTCTTCATCGTAATTGTATACGGTGATGAGATAGGACAGTGGCATTAGGGCATGCCAGAAGACATTATTTTTTTACACTATAATTTTTATCCTCTGAATTGTGATAAACTACAGTATTATATTTTATAATATTAGTAACTAATAGAACAATCCCACGTTGCCTGTTTTGCAGATCAAAGGTATTGTGATGGGAGATAGTAGGTTGAGTTGCTATCCCAGAAAACGATACTTAATTATGTACACCTCCAAAACATATATATTGTCATGTTATGTCAGTTGCGGTTTTTATACATACAAGATTCAATATCGGCTCCAGCCAGTTTTCCAGATGGGCCAAAGTGAATGCGGATGAATTTACCCTGAAGGAAGACAAACGCATTATTAAACTAAAGTTTAAAAGCTTTTTGAAAGAAAACTTTTTGAAAGAAAATAGAAGAATACACATCAATGCCTATATTGGCGTAACAATATTTGCATTCTATCGTCGTACGAATCACCTATACTTTTAATATTATATTATATATTATAATTATTTTATTTTTTATTAATTACATTAATTTATAATTATATTATAATTAATTAAATAAATATATATTATACTTACGAAACGGGAAGAGTTGTCGTTTCTGACGGTCTTTGCGTTACCGAAGCTCTCAAGCACGGGGTTAGCCTGCACGATCTGTTCCTCTAGACTTACCTGTAGAATCACAGCAACCACCACAGAGAGTTTAATCACAGCAAACACCGAGGATTACATCGGGACAAGTGGCTACTTTACCATAGACATCAAAGATCTTCTTTCATCGACGGAATTCACGTATAGTGAATTATATATACTAAACGTAACTCGCAAATTCGCATTTCGTATGCGTATATATATATATATGATTGTAAGGATAGTTTGGGAAGATGAATTCGTGATTTAGTCTTGACATGACATAATGTGATATGACGCTTGTCCTGTGCAGCGTGCGCACCGTAGTAGTAAAACATCGGTAAGATTTGTAAAGCGCTCTGACTGCCGTGAATGCCTCGCCGACAAATAACTTAAAAAGGTCAAACACTAAAACACTTGAGGTTAAAAAAAACAACATCGCGGAAAAGAAAACACGTGATTAGGAATCCAAGTAGCTAGGTTCACCTAGCTGTGCATTCCTCTTCAACACGAACACATGGGAAAGTGGCAACATGCACCCCAAACACAAAAATTTAAACTTAATTCCTTATTGTTACCCGCTCTAATGGAGCGGGTGGGGTCGCAGAAAGACGTAAAATCAGGTTCCATAAGAAAATCATGCGGTAGAAAAGTATTCCGAAAAAAACACTCGACATCTCGTGCAGGAAACGCAGACCGCCACACGAACGAGGATACATTGAAACGAAAGGGGTTACAAGTAAGAGATTTTGTTGAAATTCGGCCCGGTGAGCAGAATCAGAACATAGCACACAGTTTCACAACTTTATGTAAGGGGATGTAAGACACGCGCTCGAATTCGATGGGATTTTCATAGGGGAAACAGAAAATTATAGGTGGGGAGAGCACACGCATTTAACGCACAACAAACCTTCACTTCACCCTCCTTCTTTTTGCCGGAGGCCGCCACAAGGGCGAAGTAGGAAATTACTTTCTTCGTGTTCTCAGTTTTACCGGCACCAGACTCGCCTCTGTTTCACAAAAGTTTCACGAATATACATAAAACCGAAAAAAGGGGTCACCCGCATCAATGCTGCGTGCCCGGAAGATTGGTTTCACGGATGTATAGTCCACGAAAATACATTAAATCAACGGAATAAAAACGTCGGGATTATTTAAAAATACAATAAAAATTAAATAAAAAAATCATGATGGAAAAATATCGCGAAACGCGGCAAGTTCGAAAAGGGTGTAGAAGAAATTGTAAACATGTGATCATTGCAAATGTAAAACTGTGTAACACGCAACCTTAACGGCTAACCTTCTAGATATTCTATCCCTCATTCTCGTCTCTCAACACCCGATACTTACGTGATAAGCATAGACTGGTCCTCACGGTCTGAAACGTAGTAATAGCTCCTATAAGTATGGTGAAATTCAGCACAGATACTAACAACAGATGGAGCCTCAGGACAAGAAAATCGCCAACGGTAAGGACGAAATAAACGACGAATCGAAGAATGGCGAAAGATGTAATTATATATATATTTATAATTATATATATATATCTATATATATATATATATATAAATATATATATATATATATATATATATATATATATATATATATATATATATATATATATATATATATATATATATATATATATGAGAGAGAGAGAGAGAGAGAAAATGAATTACTTACTCATCAACATCTCAGCGTAGGCGTTGTCGGCGACGGAGAACAGATGTGGCGGCATCTCTGGGCGACGCTTGCCACGGTATTCCTGCACGACCTGGTCGATGTAGATCGGCAGCCTCTTGTAGGGGTTGATCACGACGCAGAAGAGTCCGGAGTAGGTCTGCAGATAGAAACCACTATTAAGTTCTCTAAAAACCGATAAGGTCGATCGGTACTTGACCTATCAGTACTTCTTGTAGTCAATATTGTAGCGCTTGCAAACATGACGACGAACGAGAAAACATTAACATGAAGACCATGAACACCATGACCAAAAACATGAAGACCATGTTGCAATTGTCAGCTTAATAACTGTTGTTACTTACGTAGATCATCCAGGCGTAGTAACGCTGCCTTAGGTTGTGCAACACCGAGGCGTCGTTAAGGTAGGTCAAGTTGGCCATGTCTTCTGCCTTCTCGTACTTTGGCGGATTCATCTGCTGCTCTTGACCCTCCTTCAGCACTTTCTCCTAAAATATGGAAATGGTGAAATGACGAATAAGTGATCGTACGCGTGTCCGGTTTCGTGGAACCGCCTGTTAGCAGCGATCGGCGAGAAAGGTCGGAATTTGAAAAGCATTATGACATTTAGTCTACGTATATACGCTTACAATATCACTTTTTTACAGTTTTGTTTTGCAGGAGAAAATCGTTTAAGCGATTCCATTTCTCGCAGGCGATCGACGAAAATCTATGCGCCTTCGAAATTGTTGTTGTACTATTGTTATAAATTAAGAAATAATGATATATATATATATACACATTACCTCGCCCTTGACAATGAGGGTGACCTTGTCTCCCGATCTCTCCTTCAGCTCACCGATGACGTATCCCTCCTTGGCATTGGGCACCCACCAATTCTTCTTGCCGTCGAACGGGATGTTCTGCTGCTCGATTCTCATCTTGTCGCTGGGCTTCAGGAACTGCCACGGGTCCTGCGTGGCGAGCTCTTTCGTGCCCCATGGCAACGGTAGCGGCTGCGTCAACATGGCGTTCTATGGTCTGCAGACGGCCCAAGTGGTAATGCAGACAAGGGCGGTAGTAGCTGTTGATGCATAAACACACGCGGATGACGTCGTTCGTAAAAGCTGGTAAATTTCGCATTACGATGATATTGTACATATCTATGTTCTACATAATCTACGCGGATATTATATTATACACTGCAGATATTATGAGATGTAAGCACAGGGAACATGCGGGTCTGGTGTACGCTAACGATTTGCTCACTGCTACCATAGCTCAACTCTTACGTTTAACGAAACGGCAATTATTTTACATCGTTAACGTTTTCCGCTATTAGTATACGGCACTAGAGCCAAAATGATTCTTTGAAGATAAAGTATTATATAATAGCACATACCCTTAAACACAGCGTAAATATTTTCGACAATTCCTCTTGGACCAAACTATGTTTTTATAGCAAATTTTGCGTTTAGCACTGCAGTTATCATATAGGCTTGTAGCTTTCTGAAGCTGAGCATTCAAGACACCGATAAGTGTTCATGTACGAGAGAAACTAGCTATTACGAAGCAAAGCAATGCATAGTGTTGTACTTACGGTAGTCCAGTCGGATCTGCTGCCAGTTCAACGAGATATCTGGTCTTTTATACCAGAATTGCGGAAGCCGACTCCTTGATAGCGTTTGTCACGCACGCTCCTATTGGCCAATAGTTTGCATTCTTTCACCGTGGCTCCAATCAAAGACAATGGTACATCGACCAAACATCGACCAAGCTCGAGACAAAAAGTGATCTACTGTGAAGACGAAAATAGTTCCCGTGACAGTGTGGGTCGTCAGAAAAGGCCAGGGGTGCATGGATACCCATGTGCATATGTGGGATTTAAGAGTTGAACTATTTTAAGACACTTATATATATAGGTGTCACGTAACTGCAGTTAAACAGCGGGAATGCCAGATGCCGCTATTAAATCATAACCGTATGCGAATTATAAACTTTTGTCGTATCGTGTTATTGCGCATGTCGATGTCTTTTAGTAGGTTTAATTTTTAATTTTGTAATTGTATACTTCATATGAAATCCTTTGATTTGTAACATAATGTAAATCAATTGCTAGATAATATGTTGAATCGATAGCGAGAATAGAGCAGAAGGAGAGGAGAGGTGGTGAGAGCGGTGGGACAAGAGCGGATGCAATAGTGCGAACGCAGGAGACGGCAGCGAGAAATAGGGAAAGTAAGAGAGAGAGAGGGGAGAGGGGGGAAAGAGAGAGAGAGAGAGAGAGAGAGAGAGAGAGAGAGAGAGAGAGAGAGAGAGAGAGAGAGAGAGAGAGAGAGAGAGAGAGAAAGAGAGCACGAAAAGGCGATAGCGAAAATAAATACTATATAGATGGAGAGAGCAGGAGAGCGATATTTTATTGTTCTCATCGCACGTGAAAAGTGGGTCGGTCGGTATGACGCACTCACAGGGTCTATGCACGAGCACGGCCAGAGCGGTATTTCATTCATGAGGGGAAGGGGTTTCACTTACATGTTTTATTTATCGATTCATTTGATCGGCTTTGTTGTGTTTTTTGTGTGTTACACGTGTATATGTTACTGAGCTTTTTTTTGCTAATATTTTTTTTCTCTTCCACTACGACTCACGATGGTTTTCCCACGCGTATTGTTCATGTTATTTCTACGCATTGTTACAGCGCGCAGAGTTCTATTTTCTTTTCACTTACTACGCGTGAAACATTATATACACCAGTAATACGTGTGCGTTTTGTTTCCTGTTGTTTAGTAGTATCAATGGAATGGAATGCAATGAACTCTTTGTGTGCTAGTTTTTTGCTCACTTCAACAAAGCTTATAAGCTTATAGTTGGTAAATAGTGCATAAGAGAGAGAGAAGAGAGAGAGAGGGAGAGAGAGAGAGAGCGAGCGAGAGCGAGAGGCGAAGCGAGAGCCGAGACGAGAGAGAGAGCGAGAAGCTGAGAGAGAGAGAGAGAGAAGAGAGAGAGCGAGAGAGAGAGAGAGCAGAGAGAGCGAGAGCGAGAGCAGAGCGAGAAGGCGAGAGAGAGAGAGAGAGAGAGAGAGAAGCAGAGAGAGAGAGAGAGAGAGAGAGAGAGAGAGAGCGAGAAGCGAGCGAGAAGGAGAGAGAGAGAGGAGAGAGAAAAGAGAGAGAGAGAGAGCGAGAGAGAGAGAGAGAGAGAGAGAGAGAGAGAGAGAGAGAGAGAAGATAGAATAAGAGCGAGCAGAGCGAGAAGAGCGAGAGAGCAAGGGAGAGACGAGAGAGAGAGAGAGAGAGAGAGAGAGAGAGAGAGAGAGAGAGAGAGCGAGAATATACTGTTCATGCTAATACAAATAGGCGATTTATTATTCTACTGCGATATTTATATCAGAAAAGGGAGGGTACTCGAAACGCCAGCGAGTTGAAGAGATGTACAGATGTTCCGTGATGCATGCGGCGCCTCACGCTGGAAATGTCGTTGAACCATCCCCTAGAGCTTGTAGATCTAGGGCCTCTCCACGTGCAAGATGCGATCGATCTATTTTAAGTTTGTCGTCTGCACTTTCGTAACCGTACACCCGTCAGACGCCGCTTTCAATGCGGAAAGTTCAAAATGCGGTGAGCTCTCTCGCTCTCTGGCGTTAGTTTTCTTGATTAATGTATAGGCGCGTGAAAATTTCCGACTGTGTTATGCGCTGCCGGATTATACCAATAGACTCGGAATAAATTGCTCGTAAATAACACTTGAGGATCGCAATAGCGAGGTTTTATTCAGAAATACATTAGTTGGCCCCTATGCTGGTTATAGCATAAAACATCCCGTAGCGCATAGCCTTACCAGGATACGATAGAACTTAGAAGGGAACTGCAATTACAACTACAACAGCTACAACAACAACGACGACGACGACGACGACGACGACGACGACGACAACAACAACAACAACAACAGCAACAACAACAACGACGACGACGACAACAACAACAACAACAACAGCAACAACAACAACTACAACAACTACAACCACAACGACGATGACGACGACGACAACAACAACAACAACAACAACAACAATAAGAAAGGGAAGAAGAATCGTTCTACAGACGGCTCATGACAGTAAAAGACGAATAGGAAGAAGAAAAAGGAGAAGAAGAAGAAGAAGAAAAGGAAGTGGCGAGGGAGGAGAAGGAAGAGGAAGGGGGGAGTAGGAGAAAGGGGATGAGAAAGGAGATTATAAAGGGGAGAAGAATAAGTAGTAGTATAGGGAGAAGAAATCGACGACGACGACGAAGAAGAAGAAGACTAGGAAGTACAACAAGAAGAACGACAAAAACAAAAATAACAGCAACAGCAGCAGCAACAACAGCAACAACAACAACAGGGAAGGAATAACAAAAATGAAGGAACGAACAATCGCTCTACCGTCCGCAAACCTCCGCCTATAACCCAACAGCGAGCAACGACACCTCCCCACGACTCTACGCGGATGAGATCTACACACTCACGCCATCGTCAGCATTAAATAACCGAACCAACGCGTCATCGGCTACGGGTTGCTACGGTTTACCGCACAGACGCTGATTTGATCGCCATCTCCGGACGCCGCGGCTCGAAGCTTCACTGGTTTCTTCTTAGCTTCGCATGCCGGAGGATGGTGTATCCCCCTGCTGGGTGTATAATAACGGACCAGGACGCGTATCATACATGCTAGTCGATGTAAGTCTGATGGTGCAAAGGCCATCATCTTGCGTAGATGGCTACGGCATTATCACAGATGCGGTCCTGTTTGCATCTCAGTATATTCACACACAGTCATCGTGCTAGAACCTGCGAGCGTTCTCCTTTCCTGCAAACATTTTACACGTATATACACTTGTCCTGCTAACACTGTCCCGCGTGCTGTCTCCTGTCGACGTGATGTTTTACGCACACAGCTTCTGCTGGCTCCTCTAGGCGTGGTGTATTCAATCACCGTCTAATCACACATCGTCTGTCTGCCTCCTGTCCTCCCCGCACCCTGACCATGGTACCACGCAGTGGCTTCATCGTATAAATCAATTATATTACTTTTTTATCACCACTACACACACACCGCGTACATATAGATATTCTTCCCCGCATAATTGTCAACTTTCTTTTACACACATGCAGTTCCCCGCACACTGTCCCACACACACACACACTGTCAACTGTCCTAAACACATTGTCGACTGCCCTACACACACTGTCCATTTAATGGCAATGTACCGTACTACACACACTACCACTGGCCTGCATACATTTGTAGTGTCAACGTATCGTCTTATCGGCATTGTCAACGGATTTCCTCCTATTGTCAACACACTGCCCTGTACACATTGTCAACACACTGCCCTGCACACATTGTCAACACACTGTCCTGTACACATTGTCAACATACTGTCCTGTACACATTGTCAACACACTGCCCTGTACACATTGTCAACATACTGTCCTGTACACATTGTCCACACACTGCCCTGTACACATTGTCCACGTATTGTCTTGTACAAATTGTCCACACACTGCCCTGCATACATTGTCCACACACTGCCTCACACATATTGTCCACGTACGCTCTGTCCAATATACTCGATGTAGTTATGATATCCCACACGCACTAAATCCACGTGTTCTTCCTCCTCTACGTACGGTCTCCCCGCTCTGCACTAGCTCGCATGTCCGTGTGTAGCTCGCTTATATATCACCCCCGACCATGTCCTTAACCACCGAAACGAATTCTGTAGGCCAATCATAACCAAAAGACACATGCTCTACCCAAAAAACTTAGTAGTCGCTGTCACACACGCGTACATCAGCGAGCGTGGCGCAGTGCCAATCTCATTCCACCAAAATGCCAGAAGTCAGAAACATCAACGAGCTGTCACACGTGCCATCGCCCCCCACATATTTCAGCGATCACTGCAGTAGCATGTTTTTGACAACATGAGCAATCAACGTCCCCGCTAACATCATCACCACCACCGCCCGCCGCACGCGTTCCCCACTCCCGTGCACCACGCGTGCATCAAGGGCATTGCGATAAACAAAAAAAGAATAAATTTAAGG